ATGAAAAAGTAAAAATGATAAGCAATTTTAGATGTAATAAATAAAACAGCGCAATATATAACATAGTTAGTTATCTTTCATATAGCGATGAAATAATTTCGCTAACACCGACAGTCACTTCGCCGACAAAGTTGGCCCAATTTAGGTTAGGGTTGACCGATTATGGCTAGCGTTGGCTAGGTGTAAGTATATTGTTGGCAAAATGGAACCATATCGATATTATAATTATATGGTATATATTTGTATATATGCATAACAAATAATTTATCGTTATCAGTTATCGTTTATATATTATTTCAGTCATGCATCCCTGGAGACATTGGGGTAGTAGTGCAGTAGTGAACACACTGCGCTAATACCTGTTCTACAAAGTGGTTTTGGCAAAGCTCTCCGACAGCATTTCACCAATAATCTATCTACAACTAACCAATGCTAACTACTGTATAAATTTCTTTTATTTCGTAATTAAAAGTAGGTGAATATGATCTGTATATATTAATCCAGATTTAACTATTTGGACTTTAATAATCACCTATTTTAAAATCGGTGAAAAAAACGTTCTAACGCTAAACTAATTTTTTTTTTTACTATCCCTAACCTTAACCTAAATTGGGACAACTTTGTCGGCGAAATGGCTGTCGGTGAAATAGTTGTCAGCGGAACGCACATAGGCGTTATTTTGAATCAAAATATAAAGTTTTTAATTATTTTTCTATATTTTAAAACTAGCGATTAGAATTTGCTTAATTACACAAAATTTTTTTATATATTACAGTATTAAAAAACAGTACTACAGCATATATACATATATATTTTTGATTTAAAAAATTTTTTATACTGTATTTAAAAGAAGTAGATGTTTTTATTTGGACATATCAGCAATGTTATGAAAAAGTAAAATATTAGTTAGAAAAGGTGGATTTATCATAAAAGGTTGTTTTCATCAAAACCACAAACATTAGTTTACAAACATTAGTTTATCTAATTCCGCCTCTATTTTGAGTAGAAATTTTGGCACCAGAATTAGATACCATCGCAAAAGGAGTTCGTGTTTGTGTAAATGAAGCTGTTATAATGAATCAAAGGAAAGATACATATAACTATACTATAATCCAATAACAAAAATAAAATAATATAAAGTGAAAATCAAGTACTTTTTTGTTGAAAATTAGGATTCATTTCATTACCATCGGTCATCCGCTTTCCACTATTTGAAATAGTAGAAAATGGGGATTGTTCACGCATTGCCAAATAATCTTGTTGAGATATGGGTAATTGCTGGGTCCTATGGATGTTATTTTCTTATGATTCACATATATATGTAATTAACATATAATTCAAAAGTAAGATATGAATACTGTATTTAGATTTGTCAGATTATTGATAACCACCTGGACTATTATTACCGTTCCAATTATGTGATCGTTGTATATTGGAAGGCTATAGTAAAATAAGAATAATTAGGATTATTTTGAAAGTTTATAATGTTTATAAAGGGTATTTAAAACACCTATAAGAGATTAAAGCTCACGTAGGCACTACTTTGTCTCGAACCTACACCAATTGGACCAATACCAGTGGTATTGTTAACAGTTTGTCGTATCGCCGGAACCAATGATCGTCGTTTCAATTTATCATACATGAGCTGCAAAAAAGAAAATAAGATTTGCATCAACACATTAAATTATAAAATTAGGTAACGAACCTGTAGTTTTGAAAATTGACGACCTTTCTCTTGCAATTGTTCAGCCAAATCATGGGTTTTCCGTTTTTCGAGTTCCATATCTTTCTGTAATGCTGAATAAAGGCATTATTTATAAAATACAATATTTAAGAATAATAACAAAAGAGTAATCTTGGTAAATAAGTAATAAATAAATAATAAATAAATAATAAATAAATAATAAATAATAATAAATAAATCGAAATTACCTTGAACTTTTGCTCTCAAAGCTAATAAATAAATTAGAAAATTAATAGTTAACCAACTAAATAAATCGAAATGATCGAGGAACTTACTTGTAACCTCAGACTGGGCTTCCCTCATTAAACTTTGTACTTGTTTCTCCAATTGAGTATACTTGTCTTCTAAACTCTTGTACATCATTTCTTGAAAACAAGCTTCTTGAGTTGTTTGATAGGTCCAAAATGATAATGCACGCGAACAAATTTCCACTATAATATCCGGTCTTAAACCTGAAAGAACAGACTAATAAAATAATGAGCTGCTATAAAATATGCATAAGAAATAATTTTTCAGGACATTACTTTTAAACAACTTACAGACTTGTAATCTTCGCTTGGATTCA